ATGCCTGCTTGTGACAGGAGGCCGTCTTGAGGCCGGTTGAAACATTGGCCTGGCCACCTAACTTGCTTGCCACACCTTTGATATAACTGAAAAGCTATTTCTAGGTGGGAGGCTGCCCATTTAATGCCCTGATTCCAAGGGCATAATACACAGCTCCCTACCACTCCCACACCCTGCCCCATGCCTTGCAGATGGCAACACTATATGGCTTTGGCCCCACACCAGACACTACTGTATTCCAACTGACATTTGGACCCCAAACTGGATCCCTCATACTCAGATGGCCTAACCTCCGCCATCATCCTGGGCTGCAAAACTCCTTCTCAGCAGTGGCCCCTCTGGGACCTTTGGCCCTTGGCGGTCAGGCCTCTCTCTAGCTTCTGGAAGTCCCCTGTGAGCCGCAGGCTCCACTCTATAGGTCTTGGCCCTGGGCTTTTCTGTTGGGGTGTGTTCTCCTAGCCTTTCCCCACCATGGGGTCACCCACAAGGCAGCAGGGACTGAGGCTTCCCGACACCCCATCCTCACCTTTCACTGGGGAGACACAGGTGTGGCATTTCCTGGGGACTCCCCTTCCACAGGCAGCCCCAGCACACCACCCAGCCCCAGCAGGATGTAGTTTTAGGTCATGCCCCAGGACCAGGAACCTCCTCCATCCCCATAGTTCCTGCCCTGTCCTCCAGGTGTTCTGGGAGCAGCAGGTTTCTGGCTGGGTGACATTCATCCCTCGGCTCCCTGCAGCAACTGCCAGCTCAGCTCCTAGAGCCTGGGCTTATACTGAGGCTGCCCAGCTCTCCTCCAATCCAGGGGCCCTCTTGCAGTCATGTGACTGCCTAATTAGGCCTCACCACATCTGCTGGCTGCTCCACAGCCTGCTCAAGCCTCTTAAAGTGGCAGGCACAACGCTCTTCTGCCCTTCCTTTAGAGGTGTGTGTAGATCAACAATCAAATCTCAAACAGATTTTTTTTTTCTGGGGCATTTTTTTTTTCTTGTTCTTAATGCAGGCCTCTTCAAGGACTTGGTTCTTACTCTTGCTTACACATGAAGACTGGAAAACCTTGCAGCTAATTGCTGTCATTTCAATTATCAACCAAACAATGTTAAGGTCTACAGGCTAGCCCTATATCATGCTGAAATATAGAGCTTAAAGTTGTTCCCACTTTGCTAAAACTATCAGTACACCTAATTTAAAAAATAAAAAGACCTACATTTTATCAGTATGTAGATAATCAGAATCCAGAAATCCCAAAGGTAGTAATCGGTTATAGACTCCACAGTTAAATGGGTTTGATACTGAATTGCTTTGACCTTCCTAATTAATTATTCCTTCAACCCATTGAGTGCAAAATGTGTAGTTGAATATTTGCATTTTTCTATGATTATGGCTGCTTTATTTTGTTTTTCTCTTGTGTATATATATTTTTAGAACTCTGCCCAGTAAATGTAAATGTCATTTTCTAACTCTAAAAACCTATTGAATGTTTACAAAATGTACTGAACTAAATCCTGAATTTCAGTTCAAATCCTTATTTTTATCACATCACCCTATACAGAATGTTTTTAATAAAAAGAAAAGAAATCTCCCACACAAACTACCAAAATAATGTTAGAGAGAAGTTGAGAAAAGTCAAGGAGGTTCCATTTTTGCATTCAGAGCTTTGTGTGTATGCATTTCCTATGTCAAAATATACTTTTGCTTGATCACGGAAACATCATTAGTTTATCTCAGAGATGAATTGCTGATAATTTAAATATTAATCCTTTTGCTTGGGAGCAGAGCTTTGTCAGGCTGTCTTTAGTATTCTTCCTCAGAGACTGTTATCTGTCCCCTTTTGACCTCCCACCACTCCAGGACAAGTTTTACAAAATCATCACCCTAGTTTCAGAACAAGGATAATTGTCAGTTGATGGCACCAAGAAAAAGAGATAATGATGCATTTAGTGTGCACAGGGTTGAAGTTCTGTATGGCCCACAGCAACTTCCAGAAAGACACAACGCAGTCATTCTTCACTGCAGTAGAACTAAGATATTATCTCACACTAACAGCTCTGTAGCACACATATCTTTGTCACACATATCTTTGTCTCCATCATTTAACCACATACAAAGATACCTAATCTTTGCTGTTGATATCAAGGACAATTTTCACGGCTCCTTTGTAGGGGTTCGGTATCCAAAGTGCTTGTGAAGTATGTGATAGTTATGGTAGTCAAAGACACTCAGAAGAAATTCCATATTTTTCCTTATCTAGATATGATTGGTTTAGTGAAATTCACATTTCTCTGAGATATTCTGGAATTCTTTAAACATACTGGGATTTTTAATACATTTCTGGAAGAGATTGCTGATGCCTTCTCTCACTGGGAAAGTATATTTTTTTAGAGTCCTGTGGATGTTGTGTCCTTCCTAGCAAAGTATACTCAAAGCAACATTCACAATATTGTTTAAGTATGGAAGAATCATTTAATATTGCATGGATCATTTGTTCCTTATCCTTTTAGTCTTCTGAATTTCAGTAAAAGGAACTTTGGTTTCTATCTCCTCTGCCAGAAGTGTGGTTGAGTTATTTGCACTGTTATGCAAATGTTTATTTTAATTGCTTATAATGACAGGGTATTACTCAGGCCAACTCTTAGCTTTTCCCATAAAGTAAACTCTAAATTCCACTTGAATAAATTAATTAATCTTCCTTCTTCTTGTCCTTATTTGTCCTTTCCAAACTATAGCATTCCTTAGAGGTATTTTAATACCGTATTTTTCTTGACTAGTATTCAGGACTTAGTAGAGTCACATTCCCTAACTGTATTCCTCAAAGACACAAATCAATGGAAAAATGCTGGCACTGTAAGCTACACAAGTGTTGCTTCAGTTTCAAAGGGTATTCTTCTGGTATGTTAGTCTTTGCTAAAGACGGGACCTGTCAGTTTAAAATCCTGATTTCTCCACAGCAACACCCAGAGGTGCCAAGTACGTGGGGGCTCAAGGGCCCTGGCCCCCCTTGGGAAGAGGGCTGTCACCTGAAATGTGTAAAAC